AAGGAAAAAGGGGTGGCTCTATCAATTCCCTACAAAGGTAAGTATTACTCTATACAGGTAAATATACTGTATATTATATTTGACTTCTGAACCTTCCACAATTGAACATGTAAAGATAAAGCCCCTGTCTTTAAGAAAAGCCTTTATTTAAGGCTTATACAAATTCCTCAAGGGAAACACACCACACTTTSCTCATCTCAGCAGCTTCCATTGTTCCCAGAGAAAGGTGGCTCCTTCCTTACACACTGTCCTGGATAGCAGCCCAGCTGCTGAAGCTAGAGAAATGAAAAACTGGTTCATTTTCCCCTAAAATATCTGGGAGAAGATCTAGCAAATTATGGCCCCTAAAAATGAACCTGGTTCATTTTCCCCTAAAATATCTGGGAGAAGATCTAGCAAATGATGGCCCTAGGAGACAGAAAGAAAAATCTTGTTGTAGTAGCAGGCTGCAGAAGTGGTTTAGAACCTGAACAGCTCTGTGTGCATCAACCAAATCATTCTTATTTCAGAACATTTAAAACATTGCCTTATTTTCCCCTCCTTTTTTGAGAGCGGAGAAATTASAATTACACAGTTGTCAAGGATAGAGAACCAAAGAGCTTTCAAATTYAGATGAACATTTGGGTAGTTTTTCAGACACTTAATTCTTGTTTTAAAAAAAGTAATTCAAAATCCATTTTATGTCTCCAGTTAGCACTTTCACCACTTCTTAACGATTTGCCAAAAGTAACTGCCAGCTTTGCAGTTTCTTTGGCATGTTATTTAATATCCTGTGTTTTATATCTAGCTGTATAGCTCACAACAGACTGTCATCACAATGRTTATTGAAAGTGTATATACAAATGAACACTGAAAACAATCACTTAGCTGAATAACTTGTGACACCTGACACAAGCTAAAAATTAGGACAATCTGCAGAACAGCACCCATCATACCCAAAAAGTATGAAGCCGTGTCTTTTTCTTCATATGGTATTATTTCCTAGAATCCTTAAGGCATGCTGCAGATTTCCACCTGTGCTGACTTTCTGCATTGGTAAAAGTAGGGTATAACAAACTCAGTGACTAAAGGACAATGTTCTACACATTTAAAGCACCCTGCATTTTAATGCAAATAAAGCTATCCTGAAATAACTGAATAAAGATACAGTAATAATGTTGAGCTCTACACAGCAAAATACCAACCATCCCACCAATGTGAGAGAGAAAGGTTAAAATTCCATATGCTGCCATGTTCATCTATGTCACTAAACACTGCAAGACTCAGGCACAATAATGTTTCTGTTTTGTCTTGAGCTAATGGCACCAGAATTTTCCTGTGTTTCAGTCACACTGGACACCATGACTCTCTAGTATTAAACTTTATATACATAAAAACCTAGGACATYATTTTTGTTTCATTTTAAACTTACTCTGAAAATTTTAATTCAGTGAAATCAGCTTTCTGACACATCAGAAAGAGATCCTGGAAGAAAACAGCTTAATTAAAAACTCCCTGAAAAAAGTTATTTTTCCATACACACAATTTCCTTTATTTTAGAATTCGATTGCTAAATTGACTAATTACAATGATACTCAAACAAATAACTTTAGATTAATATTTTATCATTGAACATTTACTCTGGAAAACCAACGAACAGTCTCTGGCTATAAACCACACACCTAATCAAATAAAAAATCTAGTTTTAATTATTTCAACTTTTACACTTGTTTTAAAAGGCTGTCAACCACAATTTTTAAAGAACACTCGAGGGTAGAACATATATAAAAGATTAAGCATGTTGCAATGAAAGAAGACTCTGCAGATCAAATGCAGAGTCAGGGAAGTTCAATGTAAATTTCCCAAGGGCAATATTAATTATTTCTTAAMCCCATTAATTACAACAAATACAGAAATTATGCAGTCAAATTTGGGCCGCTACCACAAAGATCTGCCAAAGAAGATGAATCCTGGTRAGTTATAATACCATTATTCTAGTCCTCCTATACTACAAATATCAAACTTTTGCAKTTTGCAAAAYATTTATCATTCATAAAGCCTTGCTGGCTTCCTCAGTTCTGAACTATTGCTCAGCACTAAGTAGTGTAAAGGAATATCGACAGTGGGGYACTGACCTGGGCAGAACCCTGTACAAAAATAACCACAACTTTCGAACACCTGAACTCCTCCAGCTTTCAGCTGCCTCTACAAACACTTGAACACGCAGCATCCCCATCCCCAGTATTTTATTTTTATAGAARCCTATCAAGTCATATTATATTTCTTCTGCAACATTAACTGCTTCAAGAAGTAGAGAACAGCTGYCCAAGGCCAAGATGATCACCATTGGCTAAGCACAGCACTTAAGGCTGACTTTGGGATCAACACTCCAGACTGAGCCCACAGCCAAGCAAGAGGTCTGCATTTCTGCACACTTCCTAAGATTCCATGCACAATAAAGGCTATTCCTCAGAAGTCTTCAAATTATAAACGATCTGTTAAGAAGAATGCTTCCATGTTCAATTTTAATTCGGTATGCTGGCCATAGCAATTAGTTACACAAAAAACTACCAGTTTGGAAGAGAAACAGCTAAAACGCCCTCRTTTAACAGACTTAGATCCCATTCTTGGTAAAGTCCCAGCACTACAGCTTCTGTTTAGCATTTACACTACACACTTGTCTCAGGATGCATTGCTAGAATATGTGCTTGTAGTAATTACCACAGAGGTGATTGTACTTATTCCCAAAGAAAGCCCCAAATAACCAAAGACAGATGTACAGCCATGAACTGACTGAAATTTTGTTATCATCAAACTAGTAAAAAGAAATGAATCTGTAAATGAACACAGACTTATCTCTSTGGCTATGTTTTTTTGGAATAAATGTCTCTTTGAAGGTTTTTACAAATCTTATCCCTCCAGATACCACAAATTTAAACATTAAATTGCTACCTTTTCTGCAGAGTTCTTTAAAATTTATATTTATTTTTWAAAAAAATTCCATACAATCCTGCACCTACCTCTCTTTTGAGAGCATAAAGTTCTTCCAAGTGTTTCCAAGCTTTCATTTATGTGTTAACTGAGATACATTCCTTTTAGTTACAGTCTTTCAAGTCTCACTTCTAAAACTTACATTCTAGTTGGGTACTGTGTGGTTTAGATTGCATCATGTTACTATGTTCAATTATCTGAATTTATTCCAGCTTCCTTCTCTTCTGAAATGTTTATCATTGTTTTCAGTTTGGAATCAAACTCAAAAATCTTTTAGACTATAAATATGGGGTGATGCAGAAAGCATACAATGGGACTGTAATCAAATGTTAAATATTGAGGAATATTTCAAGCAACTTCTACAGCAACTAAAAAGTTGTAAAGGCATCTGTTTCATGTTTCCACACAGAATTACTTATCACTTCTGCAAACACAGATCTTAGGCAAAACTTCCTTAAACTCTGCTTATTACTACTATGGCACAGCAGCCCCGTACTAACATACAGAGATGTTTGCCTCTACATAGCCTCTATATTTTAGTAAAATAGCTCAGTTCCAGCCCCAAATGGCCCAAAGCTAAACTGCCTCTCGACAAATTTTAAACTACTGCAGCCTTCAAAGAAATTTTGTCTTGGGTTGRTTTTGTGCCAGTCCTGTACTCCTATATTCCGTCAGCTTGTATGCCCAAAAGGTGCCTGTGCCTTTAAATCCAATCCAGAAAAARGGGCAGGGGTGGCTGAAAGTTAAAAGCGGGGCTGCCCCRCTKCTGCGGGCTTTTTGAGCTCAGSTCCCTGCCTGCAGCAGAGTTAYATTGYTGCYGTTTAGCTAGCTCCTGTTTGTTAGCTTGGGCAAACAGCTCTCCCTGGATTKCGAGTCCTTTCTGCGACTCCTGTGATTTTCTGGAGYGGATCAGCAGGGCTGTGGTCCRRGAACCAGGAGGCAAGTGCYGACCAGCYGGACRCCAGCAGGGACAAGYSRCACCGATCATCCCAGACTCTGGAAGAAGCCAAGTTGGCGACAGAAAAGCATTCTGAACCCTCAGTTTCATCCACAGTGAGGAGAGGACTGCTCCAGGTTTTGYCACTGCTGCCTGAGCAGCCACGTGGACTTCAGTTTCTTTTTTCCAGGGGACAGGAGTCACACCATCTTTCTCCAAACCACGCGGTCAAGCGACTGTGGGGGCAGGAGGTGGCCTGCGTTCCTGGRCTTTTAAATATCTAACAGTTAYGTTTTATCTGTGTCCTGTGGGCACCTYGTTTTGTTAATAAACTACTTATCCCTTCACATTCACCCAAACTCCTGTTTCATRTCGGTGGGAAAAAATTATCAAACTTTTCACTTCAGAGGAAACATTTATCCTGAAACATTTCTCTCTGAAAATATTGTCTCAAACCGAGACAAATTAAAAAAAAAGAATTCCCCCTTGAAAATAATCAGCTCCAAGTTGACATCAACATACTTCACTGGAGAGTTTGGGACAGGAAAGCATTCTATCCTGTCAATCCCTAGAAAAAAAGGACATGTACTCACAACACAGACAAAACTTTCAGTGTAGACAGATCACACTCACAAGTGGATTAAAGGAATCAAACCTTTCTTTTGCATACTGTATGTTTTAAAAAGTTATTTTAAAATCATTGCAAATCCCTGAATAGAATGTGATTGGCTTTTTCTTTTCTGAAGTCCAGTGAAATTAGCTAYCCTGGGATTCAGCATGCTGGGATTTCACAGTGCTTCTGATTCAGAGCAGCAAGGGGCAYTCATTAAACCAGTGATACACAGCTCAGACCAAGACTGAGCTTTGTAGTCTCCAATCATCTCACAGTTTGAACAAAGTCTTAAGAGACTCTCTAAAGCAGATTTTTTCCTTAAACAGAAAAACAAAAATTCTAGGCCTCATAAAATAAACTAGATTTGAATAAGTATTTCCTGTTTTCATAACAAAAGGGGAGGAAAGCTCATTTGCAGAAACACATGACGTAATAAGATGTAAGACATAATGCACCAAAGTGAAATCAAGCYGGACATACCTGAGCTGTTGACAGGCGAAAAACAGGGCCAGTTGTGGGCACAGAAAGCCTGGGTGACATGTTGGCAGAACCCTGCCCCTGTGTCTGCAACTGAGCCTGCATCTGAGCCTGTGCCAGAGCCTGCTGGGGCACCATCACGAGCTGTCCGGCRTCCGTGCGCACCAGGACCATCCCTGGGGAGGCAAGGCAACAGTCACARGACACAAAAAACAGCAAGGGGAACRGATAAACAACTACYCAAGCACARAATGCACAGTAAAACCAATGCATAGCACTGCATTATTCTCTATAGTGGATCTTTTTTTTTTGATTCTCATGTAACACAAGGTTTTATTTCAAAGAAGAATAGGAGCCCCCCCTAGCAGACCAAATTCAGTCTGGAATTCAGATAACTGCAGTTTATGGAAAATAGTCATGAAAAAAAGTCTGGGGGACACTCAAGTAGTCTAGACAGGGTCAGGAGAAYAAAATTAGAAATAAATACTCATTAGAAGTAAACTCTAAGGACAATGCAGATGCCAAGAGCAAAATTGAGTATGTGCATACCATGGACAACAACCTGAGAGCTTTATTAAACAACAGCTTATAACACATGCAAATATTAGGCCACATACTTTTGAGTATGCAATATTTGAGGTTTACTTAATGTTGAGCATTAACAGATTACTTTATTTGGCAGCCACCATTACCACTTTGGGMAGCACTACCTGTAGTTTAAACATCAACACAAAAAACCATCAGTCCCAGAGAACCAACACACACAGCACACGGCTGAGGACTCCTCAGCAGACAGTGATACAGTGTAGCAATTTTAGAGACCTCTCAAGTGTTTTCCAACACTTTCTAGAAGGAAATGAAAATTTTTTCAGATAATTTTCTTGTAAAACACCTCACAAATAGAGGCCTTTTACACAACAGAGCGTTGCCATCAAGCTGTGCCCTGAGTTTTGTAGTCAGCAGGTCAGAAAAGGGGAGACAATGGCTAAACTGGTCCATGGACTCTGGAGTCTCACACTTATTCCAGGTCRCTGCAAAATATGCAATGCTCTTCCTATGGTTTACTCAGAACTAAGAAGTTGTCAAAAAAGATAATTTAAAAAGAATTTCCAAGTTGGTTCCAGGATACATTTTAATAATTTAACCTAGATAGCACACAATGGGTCAAATAAACAGAAAAATATCTTATCTGCAGCTACTAGAGAACCAAAAACTAAAACCTGTGAAGCCACTTTTATTCTGCTGATAACAGAGTCAGTAGACACAGTTTCTACAACTTATCTCTATGTGCAAATTACTTCATATATTTTTTTAGCTTTCCAAAGGAAAATGAAGAAGGTAAAAGCTTACATCCAATTCTAATTACTAACTTCTCAAGAAAAAAAATCCGACTCCTTGCTAAAGGGACACAATTTGCAGCATACCCTGAGGATAAAGAAATTCAAACACTATTGTAACAAATTTCAGAACCCTMTACCAAGAAAGTCTTTCAATCTCTGACAGGGAAAAACACACCCCAATCGTGGGACACACGAGTGGACTGCAGCACACATGAAAGCCCTCACTCACTGAGTTAGGTGCTCCCAGACAACTTTCCTGCTATAAACACAAAAAGAAGGCAAATTTCTGCCAGTATAAGCTAAAGATAACTAGAAATCAAGGTTTRAGGTAACAGGCATACAGACCTACAGCAAGGACTACATCCAAAAGCCCTAATAATAACTCTCTTTCAAAGTCAAGAGTAAATCAAACATTCAAAAGTGGAAAGAAACTCATTAAAAACTCATCTAAAAGGTAACTGTTACAGTCCATTAGCCATTTAAGCACCAAGCTTCACAGTTTATATTTATAGAAAAGTCTGCAAGCAGATGATATATTTGGTATATGCAATTCCCAAACCATCTGGACACCCCAATATGCCGACTGGCCAAACAGGTTACCACTWCTCTGATTATAGTGTGAACCTTATATATATTCATATTATCCTCATAGGGTAATACCTATCACACATTAAAAAATACATGTTCTATTTGCATTRCACAGTTCACAGGTGTTCTTAATTTATCTTTCCGTTTTCTAAACCTCATTCTGAATAGTGAAAAATTGAGTGGAAAGGACAAATAAATTGCAACCACACACCATGGTCTCAATCAAAGCTGCAGACACAATTACTACTACAGATGAATAAATGCTCATGCGTTAATGTTGTATTTTAATTCAGTTTGGAGGACTAAAATTCCTGTTACTGAGCAGTTGGTACAAGTTARAATCCAGTTAAATGATGAGATTCATTTTACCTTCCTGTCAGTCACATAAAAATGAAATACACAATTTATGAGCATWATATGCTAAAGTAATGTGTTCTCAAAAACTGAACCTAAATTTCTGCTTCATTTAGAAGTTTGCTACATGGGAGTTTCAGATTAATTATAAATGATCCACCAATTTAAAAACTCAAAAATAACACTATTTTCTGAATAGCTTCATTTTAGAACATACTATCTACACATTTATGCAAAATTAATGTATTTCCAACTATCTCACAATAAAAACAAGTTCAAATTAAAACTTTCTAGTGTATAATTACCATAASATTTTCTAAATCCTGAATCAGACTGTTTTCAAGGCTCCTTTTTCCCTCTTCTATTGAAAGTAACAGATCAAGTATTGGCACAATGAACTTCAGAAACCACAGGCAAAGTTACAATGCACGTTATCACATGCACATAGTAATCTTCAACAGATTTAAAAGGAAGCCAAAGGCTAAAGGCACTAACACAGTCTGAACAGCAACTTATCAGTTTCAAGTTAGTCTTCGTGAAACCATCAGGCTTTGTATGTTTGGAGCATCAGACTCTGGAGGAGTTTTCATAAACTAATAAAACTAAACTACTGAAATAGGGCCAAATACTACTAAACAACTACAGCTACTAAAAGCCCATTGAGAAGCAAGCTTCTACACCATCACATTGCTGCTCTACTTAGCTAATACATATCAAATGCTTTAAGAAACAAGTTGGAAGAARCAAGTTATTTCAGACTACATCAATAGCTCCAAATCTTAAGATGCTTTGATATTACCTGGGGAAAAAAACCAATTGGTTTAAATGTTAAATCAACTCCTAAATCAAGAAGACATATAAACATATAAACATTCAAGATTCTGTAACATGAAAATCTAAGCAGGGGACCACAGTACCCTTCAGATGAAACAATGTAACTGTTAGGAATAGGAATCATAAGAATGAAGGGATCAGTTTGATTTGGCTCGCTAGCAAACTCGTTAGAACTTAAATTTCTAGTAATGAAAGTTTAGAAAATTAGAAGAGTAGGACGTAATAGTTCCTTCAGAAACAAAATCTGGTGATGAGAAGACTACCCTCACACAGCAATGACATTATCACAATTACTGAAATTACAATTTTTAGATTACAGTATTTTCCACCTGGTTCACAGCAGAAGATATTCTTTCAAACAGAAAAACTTTAAAGGACCACCAAGAGTAAAGCAGAAGATAAAAGTCCTTCAAAACACATATAAACTCATTCTCAGCTAAAACTCCAGCTTTCTATCCGGTGCCCAACTACTCCATCACAGGGTAACTCACCGTGACTGCMGCTCTCTCCGGGACAAAACCAGTAACTCACCCAACAACAGCTGCAATTACTCTGCATTAGCCGTACCAGTTACACCCTAATTAGCGGCAGCCTGTTCGTCACACGTTGCCTTCAGACAGGTGCCTCTTCTTTGGTTTCCAGCACGCCGAGCAGCAGGGAGATGACAGCTTGGGGAAAGCAAAGCCCTCGGCCAAGAGAAGAGCGTTAGAGCGAGCAGTGGCGGCGGGAGCGGCGCGCAGCACTTACCGGGCGGGATGGTGAAGCCGGGGGGCAGCTGGATGGTGGTCTGCGGCGGCGGCCGCACGATCAGCTGCGGGGCCACGATCCGGGGGGCAGCGCCCAGCGCCGGCCGCGGCGACACGGCCTGGGGGGCTGCGGGCAGGGCAGCGCCCGCCTTGGCGGTGACTGCGGGTTTGGGCGCGGCGGGGGCC